TATATGAAAATGACTATATGTCTTATCAGATGCCACAGCAGACAGGTGAGTTTGACTGTGTCTGAACATCATGTTTGGATAAAGTTGGTGTAAAGGCAATATACAGTATTTGTGCTAGACAGGATTTACAGGGAGTTGTTGGTTCTCTTCATTTCACTTCTACTCCTCCAGGGTGCTTTTGGACATGAAGCGCAGTCCTTCCTCCTTCAGTCGGGCCAATATCGGCCCATAGATGTCCTTTGTCATTGGAGCCACCAGACCCTTCGTGCTGATTTCGCCTGCAGAGAGCCAACACAGATTTAGTTTCACTCTACAGCTCAGTAACATCATATTAGGAGAGCTGCTTGTTTCAGTTCATTTTGGAACATTAACAACATCACACATCAGGCCTAAAAAGACAAGCTAACATTAGCTTTGCAGACAAACAGAATATACTAATGTAACTTTACAGACTGACCAATGTTAGCTTCACAAACTGACAAGACAAATTTAATTTATTCATTTATTATATCAATTTATTATGAATAATGTCGTAATTTTAGGCTTTGTGACACTTTAAATGGGGGATATGAGAAGATCAGCCAGCCACCTAGATAGATAGAATAGATAGATGCACTTTATTGATCCCCCTGCACCTTCTACAGGGGGACGATCGAAAGCGTCCTATCGAGCTGCATCACGGTGTGGTATGGAGCCTGCACCGCGTCCAACTGCAGGTCCCTTCAGCGCATCGTGAGAGCAGTGGAGAAGATCATAGGCACCTCTCTCCCCCCCCTCCAAGAGTTGTACAACGCCCGCCTCACCCGCAAAGCCATCCGCATCGAGGGAGATCCCACCCACCCTTCACGGAGCCTCTTCAGCCTGCTGCCGTCAGGGAGGAGACTGCAGAGTCTCCGGGCCAGGACCAGCCGACTGAGGGACAGCTTCAACCACCAGGCTGTCAGGGCACTCAACTCCCTCCCTGCTCTGGCCCCATTTCCCCTGCTGCCCCCCTCACACACAAACATTGGACCTTAACCCCCCCCACACACACACACACCCGGACACTGAACTTCTGCCCTAAAC